CCCCTAAAAAGTTACATATGTATACGTAAGCACCCTGAACTTAGCCCATAATAATTGTGTTTAGTACTTTAATACTTTTTATTCAATAGTTATTTAAAGAAAATCATTTTCTGAATATAAGAATGTGACTATGGCAGACCCATTTGCCCTTAGGGAATTCTAAAACAGTTTCCAATTTTAAACAATTATATGCATAAATATCAACACCATAATATCGCTCTATTAATGACTCAGCTATAATGGAACATCTAAGAGCTCTTAGAATACTTTCATATTTGTTTCCCTTCATTGTTTTTAGCGCAGATCGTTGCACTGATTAGTTCTAAGAAACGTTGAAAACTTTTGAACATTAACTTCCTGCTCAAACATTTAAAAAATAAAATTATGTAGAAAATAATGTTGGATAGGCAATTATGGACATTTATACGGTTATAAGGTTGTTGTTTTTTTTTAAATTCACTCTTATGTTAATTTAAATGAGATTATATAGTTTAGAGATTAAATAAGATGAGAGATGAAATAAGATTGGATAAATTTATATAAAGCTCATTTGAATTAATTCTTTACTATAATTTTTTTCGCTTAAATACATTAAAAAAATTATACCTTAATAATGATCATAATACTTTTTTAAAAATGATAATTAGAAAATTGTCTAGTTATAAATTGACGGAAAAATTCTGTTAGCGTAATTGACTCAATAAAAAATTGAAAAACATATCATTCTAAATTACCATCTTGAAAGTGTTAATTGAAGAACGGTATGATTTTGCAAGAAACAGAGATTAGAAAATACTTGTGTAGGTTTAGATAATACTTGTGTTTCGAGGGATAGTAGCAATTGATTTGTAAAAATTAATAAAAGCATATTTTGCATAGATAACGAATGAATTGTGTAACAGTTATCCCAGTTTTGATACTCCACTATCTTTTATGTCCTTTTATCGCAATATCGTAATATATTAAGAAGAATAATTAAGTTTAATATGGTATATATATGTAGACTATATAGTATATATATATATANTATTGATATATATATATATATATATATATATACAAATTTTTTTAAAGATATGATATTGAGTTATTTTTTATGCTCAACGAAATATAAATTATTATTTTTTTGTAATTTAACACTTAAAAGTTTACTTTTATGACATTGTGTCAGGGATCCCAATTGTTTAAAATTTAACATTTAACATTTTCTTCTAATAACGACTAAATTATGACGGGGATTATAATTTTTTTTAAAAATAAAAGTAGAGTATTTTCTTACTTTCACGTTCTTTGATTACAATACAATGTATTGTTTTGCTTTCGTTTTTTAATTTTCTCTTATGATCATTGAATTCCTTCAGGGGTTGCAATTTTAAATATGATATTCAGCTAACGCTTGTGTTCTTTTATCGCAATATAAAGTATTGTTTTATATCATTTTCTTCGTATAACGAATGAATTGTGTCCCCAAATTTTTAAAATAGAATAGAGCTCACTTTCTTTTATCAGACTATAATGCATTTTCCCTTTTGACCATAAGAATTCTTGAAGTGTAGGGAATATAACTGTGACCGGGACCATTTTCTCAAAAAGATCGTTGCAGTCATCGATTTGTGCGCATCAAGAAGGAAACAGTGTCGCTTAGCAACCGGTGACCCCTGTTCTGGACTTAGCATCAGCGTATGACGACCTTAAAAAAAATAATTTATATAAATAACATTGCGTCTTCTCCAATTTGGTGCGATAAATAAAAAGTGCGCAGTAAAAATTTATAAAACTCAATACAAATAAGAAAATAGATCTTATTTTTTTAAAAAAAATCATCTTATTTTAGGGTATAGCCTCTAGCTGTTGATTTTAATTCGTCACAATTTCTAAAAATGTTTGCTAGAAATGTTACCGAGAAAGTCAGGAATCTGATTAACGTCAACATTATCTGGAGAGTTTCGTTAATCACTTAGTTATTTCACTGTAAGTCGAAGTTCTTTTTAAATATTATTAATTCCTAGTTACTCTGGCAAATGTCAACATTTTAGCAAACATTGATAGTAGTGTTATTTTTAAAAAAATACGTAATTTTTTATACTTTCAAACCTGGCATCAGTGCATGTTAAATTTCGATATTTTCTTACGTTCATAAGAAATATTGATATTTAACAATAACTTTTATTCAACTTTTGCCGTCAGTTCATGTAGAATATTGATATTTTCTTGTGTAAATAAAAAAAAATATTAATATTTAGCAATAACTTTTATTCAACTTTCACCATAATTATATGATAATTTTCAATGTTTTGTGATGTAAATGAGAAATATTAAACATAACTTCTTTTTTCCAACTTTCACCTTGTTGCGTTGGTGCAGATTGAGTGTTGGCTTAAGCTGATATGAAAGAGAAAACAATGGCATTTAAGAAATGAAGAATTTTTTATACATTTAGGCATTTTGAATGTCGACATTTGCAAGTGTAAAGGCTAATTATAAAATTTTAAAAAAAATTCAATTTTCACCATCGGTACATCCTGATTTGCCGGTGTAAGTTAAAAAATAATGTAATTGTAAAAATAATGTTGTTTTTTTTTTTTTAAAAAAAAATTGAATTTTTTGCAATGGTAGGCACTGAACTTCGCCATGGGAGGTGCCGGAATTGTTCCTCATTTTGCTTTTCTTGTGACACCACAGAATATCGTTTCGTGGTTCTTTTCAGAATGTTTCATACTATCTCCCCATATTTTTGTGACAATATCACACAGAATATATTTGAAAAACTATCATTTTTACTAACTTTTTACTAACCCATGATATTTATCATATCGGACTCATTAAAATTTCAAAACATACTTTTTCGATCTTTTAAAGTATTCACTAATGACACATTTTATTCAATTTCAGTACATTTCAAGGTTTATCCCTTTTCTTCATATTTTGAAAAACTACTATTTTTAGTAACTAAAATTATCTATAGAATTTATTGAATTGTCGAAACATGCTGTTTTCTGCGACGTGATTCTATGGCTTATCCCTCTTTCAAATAGAGTCCTTGATGTATTTAAAAACTGCAATTTTCAGTGACCAAAAATGTATAACAGCTTTCCTAATTTTTCCATAACATTTTTTAGTGTGACATCTTACTATACCTACATGTAGTTTATCACTATTTCATAAAGAGCCCTTCATTCTTGAAAACTGTCATTTTTAGTGACCAATTGTGGCACACTTTTACATTTTAAACATGGCAATTTTTTACTACAATTGTAATATTTCTGATGGAGCTAAAACTTGATGGAAATGATGATGGTAAGAAATGACGTAGAAACAAAATGAGGGGCGGGCTGTCAGTGGAAAAAGTTTTCGAATTGTAAGTGCCTTCATTTTCTGGGTCATTACAGGATTACCAACACATTTACGAAGAAATCACCTTGTTCGACCTTTTTATCCTGCTTTTGTTAGACTCGGTTTTTTGTTACGCTTTGTAGATGATATAATCCTCAAGGTCCTTCCACCTTAGAGGTTAAATACTTCCCAGCATTCCTAGCTTCAAAAAAATATTTCCAACTAAACACTTCTTAAGTTATCATCGTAAATTTACTAGTGTGAAACCATCATTAATTGTTCCAAGGTGAATCAATTTTAAAATTACATTTTAAATGCTTCTGTAAAAGATATGGTGTGATATTAAAGAAATTGCGTTTTGAGTCATTGAAATTTATTATGTTTTATATCATGAAATATTTTATGTTTTAGCAGTTTTTCTTCCCTTGTGGAATATAGTGAACAAAAATAAGTAGCAAAATATTGTTATAATTTTTTTTTTAATATTCGTTATAATGCTTGTAAACTGAATTTTTATGGAATAAAAAAATTTAGTTAAACTAAATTAATAAACTAAAGAAATTGAAATCGGTTGGGATTGGAAAATTTAACTTTTTAAAAAATAAACTTCTCCTTGTTCTTGGGCTCGAACATCAGATCATTCTTTTTTACAATTTTGGTAGAGAACATCATTGTATGTTTCAAATTACAAAAGAAAATGCTTTTAGTTGTTGTCCTATAACATTGATAGTAAAATCAATGTTACAGTGGAATATTAATATTACTTGCTTCTGAAATGTTGATTAAAGCAAGATTTAATTTGTGACTTAATTAAACCTTCATTTAATTTTGTCACATCGCATGAACACTTAAAAATTAAATCAGATGGGTTATTAGATTCATTGTTATTAATGTTTCAAAATAACTTCGGCTAAAATAATTAGTCTTATGATATAAATTGAATACAGTCGTTTTGAGAGTTGCATTTATTTGATTGATTCAAAAATAGTAAAAATACATTTTTTTACTTGTTTTACAAACAAACAATTTGAAGTGATTAAAATTAAAATATTGTTGTTTCATAAATTATAAATATTATAAGTTTTCATAAATTATAAATCAAGTCAGAAAATTATTTGTCAAAAGATATGTTTTTGGCAAAAAGTATGTCCATAAAGTATATCAATATTTAAAAAATATCAATTAAGATACTTGATTTCATTACTTAAATGACCGCTTTCTCTAAATAATGAACATATTTGATGTGCACCCTTATTAAAATTAAACCTTTAATATGCAAATTTTTTTAATGACCTATCTACTAAGAGGACAAAGGAACTTTTGATTCACGTTTCTGGTTATTACTAAACTTTTTGAGTAAACTAATGCACAAATATATCATTAAACTTCACAATGCTATTTAGTATTGTTTCTGATACATGTGACTTTTAAATTGACAAAATACAAATAATAATAATAATCAAGTTTTTAAAATTTTCGAAACATAATTTTTATTTCTCTTTCTTATGGAAACTGTGTTCAGTATTTGAATTGGATTTAATATTTTTTAAAATACTGGAAAGTATTCTTTAAATTGTTACACAAATGCAAAATTCACCTTATACAAAATTAACTTTTCTTAAAAAATAATATACTTAATATTGAGTTCTTTTAATCATTTATTGCAGCTCCTGCTCCTCCTCCTAGAAAGCAAAGGAGAGAAAGAACAACTTTTACAAGGGCTCAATTAGATGTTTTGGAATCTTTGTTCAGCAAAACCCGCTATCCAGACATTTTTATGAGAGAAGAAGTTGCACTTAAAATAAACTTACCTGAGTCCAGGGTGCAGGTTAGTATTAAACATCAAAAGCAGTCATAAAAAGTACGATGCTAAACTTAAAAATAATGTCTCCTTTTCGGGAGAAAATAATTTCATCTTGTTTTCTTTTGATAACAAAATAATTTTACTTTGCTTTCTTTTTATAATAGACTAATTTTACCTTGTTTTCTTTAAATAACAGAATAATTTTACCTAGTTTTTCTTTAAATAATAGAATAATTTTACCTTGTTTTCTTTAAATAACAGAATAATTTTACCTAGTTTTTTTTAAATAATAGAGTAATTTTGCCTTGTTTTCTTTAAATAACAGAATAATTTTACCTAGTTTTTTTTAAATAATAGAATCATTTTACCTTGTTTTCTTTAAATAACAGAATAATTTTACCCAGTTTTTTTTAAATAATAGAATAATTTTACCTTGTTTTCTTTTACTAACAGAATAATTTTACTTTGTTTTCTTTTCATAATGGAATAATTTTACCTTGTTATCTTTTAATAACAGAATAATTTTACTCTATTTTCTTTCAATAATTGAATAATTTTACCTTGTTTTCTTTTAATAACAAAATTATTTTGCTTTGTTTTGGCCTCAAATTAAAATGAACTCTCAATTTATAATAATCTCTCCTAGTTTCTTTGCAATAATAGAAGGATTTTACTTAGTTTCCTTGTAACGATGGAATAATTAATTTTTATTTTCTCATCAAAATTAAAATAAATTATCCTTTTTTTCTTTATCATAATAAAACAATTCCTCTTTTATTCCCTAACTTTGAAATAATTTCTGCGAAGCGGTTAAAACATATCTAACAGTAAAACTACTATTATTATTGTATTTTGTATTTTTCATTTATTCTTTAAACCTTGCGCTTGATTTTTATTCAAAATATTGTTTCTCATTTTTTCCTTAAACATTACAAATTTAAACTTTCAAATACTTTTTGTTTTGTTTTAGCTTTACTAACTGTATTTATAAATGCTTGAAATGTTTTTTTAGAAATAAAAAAGAAATGATTGCTAGCAAGTGCTTTAATTCATTAAAAATTAAAACCTTTTGTAAAACCAATTTTTATAACATAAAAATACAACATTTTTACTTTAAACAGATTCCTGTCAAAGTATATGAGAATTTTACTCATTTTTGATTAACGAAAATAATTATTTTGTGTCTTGTATCAAACAAAATAAAATAAAAATTAATCAACCTTATTTTTTACTTCTAAAATAATATAATCATGGCCCTGAAACCCTGCGTTACCATATTATGATAAAAGGTAAGTACAAGTTACAATGGATACCAACAAAATTTCCAGGAAAAGGTTTGTATTCCCATTTCTTTTTTAAAATGGTTTATTATTTGGTAGAATGACCTCTTAGAAAATTATAAGGTAAGGTTTTAAATGGCATAAAGGTTTTAGAGTTGTCTTATTTTTTTCTTCTTATTACAGGTGTGGTTTAAAAACCGGCGAGCTAAATGCCGGCAACAACAACAGCAACAAAATGGTGGCAGCAGCAAAAGTCGACCTAAAAAAGCAAAAAGTCCTCCTTCCTCATCAACGCCGCCCTCTTCCAGGGGCGGCTCTCCCTATAAACCCCCCTCATTACCACCTTCTTCAGCGGGGCCACCAGTTACATCCAACTCAAATAGTATATGGAGTCCAGCCACAATCAGTCCGGTAGCCGCCGAACTGATGGGAGCCAACAGCTGTATGCAACGCTCTTATCAAATGGCGGCCAATACACCGCCCAGCTGTTATTCACAGTCTTATGGTCCCACATCTTATCACTATGGCAACATGAACATGGACTATTTGCCACCACCTATGCCTGTGACGACTATGACATCGCCACAGATGAGTGCCCCAGTCATGACAGGGACGCACATGGGGGCTTCTACGGCGGCCCATCAAACCCTCAGTTCCCGGACACCCCCTATAAACGGAAGTTTACCCCCACCAGGAAGTACCGATTGCCTCGAATACAGCAGTGATAAAACTGCCGCGTGGAAATTTCAAATGCTCTGAAGACTTTTTGAGAGGCCGTCGAAGAACTCATCAGATTTAAAAAGGAAAAAAAAAAGAAAAAAAAAAGGCTGACCGGCACATTTTGTTCCCTGAATTTATCAAAAAACAAAAAGCAACTGTTTTGTATATAACAGAAAGACAACACTCATCTTTTTACTAGACGATCAAGCACTCTCATTCTATTTTAGAATTCATTCTAGAATAGAAATTAAGGTTCAACTCATGTTTTATGGAATTACAGAAGGTCAATCTGGGGTATTATGAGACTATAGAATCCTTGTTTTGACAATATGTTTACAGTGAAACCTGTTAAGTTGACCATCTCTATATGTTGACCATCTCTATATGTTGACCACCTGTCTAAGTTGATCTTTACGATCAAGTACCAAACTGGCAAAAATAATTAAAGTCCTACTTTATAAATTGACATCTTATCTAAGTGTACTCTCAAATTGTCTTATGAAAAGTTATCAACTTGTACAGGCTTCACTGTATGATTAAAAAAAATATCAATCTTAAAAATAAAAGTTAAAAAAAAAACCACAACAAATGGGACATCATTATATACGTACTTATAGGGTGAATAGTATTTAGAAATATTTCATGACTATTAAATAGTAGTTAAGTATGGCTTTGATAGTCCTCTCATCCTATTATAGTCATTTAATAAAGCTTATATACTAAGTGTGCGTATATATACAGTGTAACCTATTAAATTGACCATCTGTGTAAATCAATCTTAGTTGATTTTTGCCAAAGTTGATAGCTGTAGTCAAGCACCAATTTTTCAAAAACAGTTGCTTCACCTCTTTATAAGTTGACCTCCTGCCTAAGTGAGCCATCATATAGGTGCTTCGCAAGTGGTCAATTTACACAGGTGTCGCTAAATATATACATACAAGGGTCTGAAAATCTCGGTCACTACGGTGTATAAAAAAATTTAATTGCCTTCCAATATTTCAGTAAAATCTGATTTTTTTAACAAAAAAATCTGAATATTTTAGAAAAAAAATTATTCAAAATGCTAAGTCCGAGCAGACCCGTAATGAAATGCTATTTGCATAATTGTCTGTGAAAGAAAATTTGTGACCACTTTATTAGTTTTTAGATAGTATTAAATTTACTTTATGTAATTTTATGAAATCACTTCTTAATATGCTTAAGAATTTGACCTTAAAAATACTCTTGTGTATGTATTTTTAATGTATTATTTTTTTCTTTTTAATGTGTCTTAAATAAACACAAACACCATAAGCTATAATTATGAATGTCTCATAATAGCCCCGATTGAACCTACTATTTATTTATTTATTTATTTTTATTTGTTTCTTTTTGTGAAACCCCCATGTTTTTAGGCAGCAAAAGAGAAATTAGTTCTCAGAAAATCATTCACAATTTTTTCGACTATTATTCTTGTTTATCTCAAATTAATCAATTAAGTTCTTGAAACTCTTTATATTCTGTGAAATAAATAATGAGAAATTCTGAATTTGACTGAGCAAAAACATGTATCTAAATTTTCGCCATAACTACGTAATAGGATGAAAATTAGTGCATTTAAAAGATAATTTATTTGTTCTTGCATATAACATAATCAGGATTACCACGGTTCTTGAAGAAAAGCTTTAGAAAAATTGAAAGAAATTTAACACATTTGTGAATGTCACTAAACACTTTTAGTTAGCATGTTTTTTTTTTTTCTTCAAATAAATAAAAGGAAAACTAAAATGATAAAATTTCCACTAGCCTAGTCAGCCATTTCTTTCAAGCACCGTGTTAAACCTATGAATACAAATGATGTTAGTAATATCATCTAGTATTTTATTTCTGCTTTAAAAATATGTAATAAATTGAAGAAAAGATGAAAAGAGAGCTAAGTAAGCAATGTCATATTTATATATTATAATTGTAAACTATTTGCATGAAGAAGCTGCATTTTTTCTATATTTTGTCGGTCATCTGGTTCGGTCAAGGAAGGGATATAAAGGTACGTAACATTTAGTGCCCAGGGCAATTGATATAATTTTTGTGTAAATTGAATTATTTATGATGACTTTTCAAATAAGTTGCTTATTATTGAGTTGTGTAAATTGTAAATGTCGAGTTCGTTTCCCTTTTCATGTTTGACTCACATAGCTATTTCAATAAAACTTTTTTCTTCATTTTTATTGTCGCCTCATACAAATATCAGAAATACAATATCCTTCTCGATATTTTTATTGGGAATAATGACCATTAAACAATATTACTTTTGGTTCTCAAATACTTTGCAAAGTACTTGAGAAAAAATAATATTCCCAATGCTTTATTTAGAAACAATAAAAAATTATTTAGTTCTCAGAACATTTTCACTGTATTTAATTTGGAAGCAAAATTAAAGTTCTCAATACTTTATTTGGAAGCATTAAAATATTGGGAATATTATTTTTTAATTTCATTTTAATATCTCATTTCAAAAAATGTTATCATTCATTTTTTTTACATTTCTTATTGTCCCTTAATAGCTTCCGCACCTAATAAATTTGTTCTAACTTCTAGAAATATTGTTGCTATAGAAAACTTTCTTAATGAAAATGTCCTTTGAGTTAAGACACTGCTCGTTAAAATATTTCAATAATCACTCACTTTATTTTTTCCCTATAATGTGGTATTTAGTGAAACTCAACCCTAGAAGCCAGAATGTTTTAACTATTAGAGATTTTTACTTTTACTTAGATTTTTACAGACTATTAAAGAATGTTTTAATTGTTAGAGATTAAACAAAATAGGAAAAAAATTTAATCTTTATTGTAACGAAACAAAATGCAACTATCGTTTGGGAAAAAAGTATATACTCCAAAATGCTTCATATACGATATATTTCATTCCAAATTATAAATGATCTGAAACAAAATTTTTCGAGACATTTTCAAAACTTAGAACTTCGATGATTTTTAATTTGCCAATCTTGAAACGTAATATTTTTTCCCTAAAAGATAATCGACATTTTAACTTACACAAGTCAATGAATGTCTTTTTTTTTTAATATTTTTTTACAATTCATTAAAATTCTGAAAGAACAATTTGTTAGTCTTTCTTTACCAACTTTCAATCAGACAATTTTAAATTTTGAGGAATAAAAAGAAAAAAATTGAAATCCCTCTTCTTATATACAACAAAGACTTTTTATAGAGTATGATATCGTTACATATATCTCGTCTTACATTTCTTAGATCCAATGTCCAGTACAACAATTTCAACACTTAAAAAAATGAAAGATTGTGCTTGCATGCCTTTACAAAACTATTTAAAAGTAGAATTGGATCGGAAATCTGAGTATTTGATTTCAAAAAATTTGGTTCAAGCAACCATTTAGAAAGACACATTACATGAGCGTGATGGATTCTTCCCAAAATCACTATAAAAATATCCTACAGTATGCAAAAAATTAAAATTTATCATTTTTTTGCTGTAATGAACATTTTAATTGCTATTATGAACATTTAATACTTTAATTAGTTGATTTTTTTTTTCAAAAACTATTTTATCGGAATTTTTTAGTTTACTTTCTTCTTAGCTACATATTTCAAATTAAAAATCACATTTTCTGCTCTTATTTAAAGCTGAGGGTTAAAATAATTAATAGTTTAAAGGTTAAAATAAAACTTAAAATTATGTCATTTTAAATCAGATTTTTTTTTAAATTCTATCAAATAATTCCAAGTTATGCAAATAAGGTAATAAATAATAATTGAATAATTATTGAAATAATAAACAAAAACGCTAAAGACAATAATTATTGAGTATTGCTGAATTTAATGATCACTGCAAAATTACTGAAAATTACAATCATATCAAAATTTCTGAAAATAATAATTATCCTATAATTGCTGAAAATTATATTAATTACATAATAATAATACAATAATTTGTCTAAATAATCTAATAATAATAATCTAATAATCTGTCTAAATAATCTAATAATAATAATCTAATAATCTGAAAATAATAATCTGCTGAAAATAATAATTATTGTATAAATGCTGAAAATAAAAATCACTTCATAATTGCTGAATCATTGCAATTAAATGAATTATCATATAAAATATTAAAATAAAACTGTAAGTAAACAGAATTATTATTCTGATTTAAATAAGTTGATTTGTTTGCAAGTCTATACACAGATGAAAAAGTCCCTAGATAAAAAATATCCAGCAAATGAGATTTCTAATTTCTTTTTAAACAAAGCACGAAGTATCGACTAAATTTTAAAGAAGATAAAAAGTTTTGCAGCTTAATTTGATAGTGGAGAATTTTCTAAATAAATGATACGCAATAGGTTGGATTTCTTAATTGGATTTACGCTAAAAAATACACAATAACTCTTCAATAATTTCTTCTTTACACAAATAATTACTCTTCTGGATTTCCATATAAGATTTTGACATTAACTTATAAATCACCGAGTTTCAAAATATTTTTCCATTTTCTCTGATCTAAAAATTAAGACTACTTAAACGAACAAATAATTTGCTTCCAAAGAAACCTAAATTCAATAAACAAACTTAAAAAATTATTTCACAAAGTATGTATCACGTTCATAAAAATAAACATTTCAAGAATGATCTTGTTTCCTTGTGTCTTAAAAACAATTTATGTCAGCAATAAGTAATTATTTCTGGATTTTTCATCAATGTAAGGCTACGTTAATTCATTTTATTAATAATATGACGATTCCCTTTAATAATGAGATGATTAATGCCCTTAAACAACAAAAATTTTGGTATTAGTTTTCCTATCAATAAAATCTGTATGAATGATTACGGGGACACTATTTTTACTCAATTCACTTAAGCCGGCATTTTTTCGAAAAGAATAAGTTGAAACTTATACATTTATCACGTGTAGATGAATGCCAAAGCTATGCTTAAATTGCGATCTCTATACGTAGCCTATTCGCATCCGTTGAAGAATTTCAGCCAATAAATTCAAAATTTACTAGCAAGTATAATATTTATCCACTCCGATAGATATTTTTATTGCATAAAACTAAAAAACAGGAAAAGAAAACACATAATCCCGTATAAACGGACATTCTATAAGTTCGTATTTATAATAAAGAACCTTCTCCATGTCGAAACATAAGATAAGAGACACAGAAATGTTGAAGAAAATACAAACAAGTTACAACAAGAAAAAAGTTGTTTGATGAATAGAGTAAAGGAACAAACTTATTGAACCAGTAAACGGTCCCTTAAACTTTAATTAATGATTATCAAGGATATGTTCAGAATCAAGACATTAAATGACCTTCCATCACTTTCGATATCTGGATTTTTCCTCATCTAAAATCATTTAATAATACTTCTCAACCACTGACTAGATTTCTGGGAAATCATTTTATATTTTAAAAAGTTATACCCTTTCTATTATCTCATTCTTTCCAAATATTTGGAAATATATTTCTACATTTTACAGCATCTTGAATTTCTCTATTACCGTACCACACATATTTATTATCTACTTTCATATGTTAGATTATCTTGTTTAAGCTTGTTCTCTTTAACTTATCAGTCAATTAACTTTTTTTATTGTAACTTGGTTGAAATTTTCCTCTGCATCCCTGTGTATCGCTCTCTCTTAATCTATTTTGCAAATATCAAGAAAGTTTCTAAATCTAAGCCTATAGTGCGTGTTTAAGGGGCATTATTTGTAGTATTCTCTTGTTGTTTAGATTTAAGCAAAGCGCAAAGTTAAAACTTTTCTTAGTTGAATTTTTACTGTATTCGTGACTTTTGATGAATTTAATTTTAATATTAAATTCGAAGACATTTTCTATTCATTATGCAGTCATATTGTAGAAAAGAGCATTTTAAAGACCTACGTGAAGTAAAAACTACTCCATGTAGTATCCATGTGAAAAGTTTTGAATAGTTCTGAACAGTTTTTCCCTCCATTACAACTACACAACAAGAAGAATTCCTGAAAAATCACAGTTAAAAGTACCCAGTTTGTCAATAATTTTATTTTATACCATAATTTTCAGATTGATATTTACTGAATTGCAGTGATTTAGTAAATATTACTGTAAAAATTACGGCATATCTGATTTACTGTTCAGTAAAATTTTACGGTAAAAAATACTGGTCTCCTGAGCACCGGTACTTTTTACCATAATTCTTCAAAAATCTTTTTTTGCGGAGTACCTTTTTATGCATGGTTTCTCAAAAATGTTGTAACAAACTTTATGAGTTGGTAGGGTACATTATGAGGATTGCGAACTGCATAGTAACCCATGACCGAAACCGATCAGGGAAAAGTGGTAGCTGAGATAAAAGAGTAGGGGATGTCGTTGAATAAATTTATGAGACATCATGTGTACAAATGTCGTACTAGATAAATACCGTAGAGTGGGGTTACTTTTAGACACTTATATTAATATATATATATATATATATATATATATATATATAATATATNATATATATATATTGCTCTTCAGAGTCTTAAAGAAATCTGATGCGAAGCATCATAAAAAGATACACTTTGCTGAAATACTGAGCAACAATACAGTAGCTCATTACGTATTTCTTTTTCTGTTTAAATAGACCAGGGCTATTTCGTTAATTTCAATTTTTCGCCTGGAATTGTGACGTCAGAACAAACGATGCCCTCATCAATTTATCTTCAAAGTCATGATTTCTATTCTCATTACTGACCACCTCTTATCCAAAAATTATCCCTAAGTCACCTCCCAAAATACAATATTCTTAATTATCAGGACATATGAAATACACTAAAATACCTAAAAGTTTGCATTTGTTATTATTTATAAATGAAATAGGTTCAATATACTAGGAATCAGAATGGTAATTTAGCTTATTGATAATAGTACTATAAATACTATGTACTTCAGATGAGACTTGATAAAGTTTATAACAGACAGCAAAGGAAACACAATCAAACAGGAATGTTTGCAGGTCGGCAAATAAGTCATCGCAGAAATGGCAGCTGTTTTAGAACCTAATAATGTTCCAGAAAGTGACTAAAATTTTGAAAAAATTAGCACAATCGCTGAAAGTTATTTAACTTTAGAAACCGCGAGTGTCCCAAAGCAATCTCACATGTCCCAAAGTAACCCCATTTTATGGTTCGTTATGTTCAAGAGAAATTTGCACCATAAGGTGCT